CGTTGTTACCAATAGTTGTTTCGCTCACTGGAAGTCCCTTTGTACATGTTGCGCGTATCAGCCGGGATGTTTCACGTGCATTTTTATAACATCTCGCCTTTTCGTCCCTTCAGATTTCCGAACGCACCAAGATTCTCCATTCGTGCAGCTGCCATTTTTCATCTGAGGTCTGGCAGTTGGTCAAGTGGTCGGTCAGGGGGAATAGTTCTTCGAAACTGAAGCAATTTTAGAGTGTTTTTCGGGAGCTAGTGCTTGGATCTACTTGATTGCGCCATTCCACAAATGGAACACATCTTCCAAGGTTGCCGATGGTGCCCTCCAATAATAGTCGTCATCAGAAGGCGTCTTGTCCGAACTAGATTTTATTAAGTGTTATTGGTATGTTTGCCTCGCGTCGGGGTCCTAGAGCTTCTCAATAGCCAGGCTAGGTGTGTTCGTCTTGAGCGCCCCTAAATTGTGCAAGAGAAGTAGCAACGAACAGCTGAATGAACCTAACCCACATAGATGCTCCAGAACGAGCAACACTGTATTGACCCACGCCATTTATAGCTAATGGCGATGTGTATTATCTCTTGAAGGCTGGCTCGCATACGCCGGGGAACCGTGTGACCAAGCTGATTCGGTTGTTCCAGAAGTTGTTCCTCTATAGCAACAGTCTGTGATCGCATAATGCAGCCGGCACTTTACGTCGTTCCGTGTGTCCCCAATTCAGTTCAAGACGACCACCCGGTTGAGCCTCAGCAGCACGAATTCCGTTTTTTGCGAATTCATGACTCCGGTAGATACAGTAAAATCTGAGCCTTAGGCCCGCGGCAACAAGGCGCTCAAGGCGTTATAAAAAACTGTGTTTACGATTGTCAGAGCTGCATTCTGTTGAGACATAATCAGATGCAATAAACAGGCACCGATTATGCGTGCGTTTACAGAACACTCTCACGAACGTTTCCAATCGCACGGAAGTGACTATCAACTAGCAGCCATTCAACCAGATGACCTTCATACCGGTGGCCCAGAAGAATGTCAACCACGGCGGCTTTTGGATCAGTAGGAGTCTGCAACTGGAAGATCACTTCAAAAAATCCGAATTGGGCGGTGCACATCAATAGAAGATGAGGCCAGCGTACATGCAAGAACAGTCTGCCGTCAAACTTGATTCAAGGTAAGAAAGTTAACGGCTGTTAGATGAAATGAGTGCCACGTTTGAAGGATGCTTTCAAAGTGCCCACGGCCTTAGCAGCCGAGTTAATTAACCGCAGTGGGAGGCAAACAGACCTATCAGCCCTTAATAATGACCTGTGGAGAATCTTTAGCAAGGGGGGGAGGTGGGGGAGAAGATTGCACGAGTGAATGAAAAAGAGCGGAGGCGTCAGTAGGATCCTATTTTTGCTTGACTGCCTTATCGTATGCAGCCAGTAAGGCAACACAGCTGATGACACGACGCGACGGTCAACGTGGAATGAGGCTGTTTTATAATGTGCAATTCATAGTTGTACACAACCTGATCAATAAACAACCCAGCTGGATGCATTCTCTGAGGTAGTATGTTGGACGCAGTCGGGTGCAAATGATAGCGACTTCAGTTTCTCACACTCAGTATTCCTCGTACAGCTGGCAGGGCTTGGTGACTGGTTGGTTGAAGCCGGATTATAAAGGTATACCGCGGAACCAACGAAAACACACTCAGGTCAACATCGTTCAGTTCTAAACCCAGTTTTCACAATGTCTCTACAGCCGGTGACATTTGTAGCAATAGAAAGCTTCTAGAGCAATGTGATCAACAGAATAAGCTACAGAAAGCACAGACCACAGGGCAGCACCATCAGCGGTCGCCACCCCAAGAGGAAGGAAGATGAGAAACAAGGACACTAACTTGCATTCAGTACGAGCTGCTGGTTACTGTAAGAGTCTGTCCTTAGTCCACCACTACTCATTTACAAGCCACAGCTCACCATGGCAGGTGTTCGCTGATGACTTCAAACTACCTAAAGTGGCTGGAAACCCGCAAGATGAACCGGACCCCCGATTCAACCTGGATAATCTGACGCAGTGTTGTGTCAAAGATTCCAAGAATACTGGAACAAATATAGTGCGTTAGAGGCTAGTCCACATCCACGATGCAGACTAAACACAGCCTTACACAGATTAATGTGATAACCCACTCTCACGAACGACCTGAATTACTCAAGACTTCTAGGCTTCTCTTAATCATGAAAAGCTCTTCACAATACTGAAACCCATATTCATTCTACAGTTAGTTGACTACGAACGGATAGCATATTTCTCACGTCCAAAAGATGAACATTACAGTGGCTTGGAGCGCGAATGCTCATGAAGATCATATGGGCAAGGACTACAAAACATGGAACCCTTAGCTGAAGCAGAAAGAACTTGTTTTTTCTAATTTGTAGGAAAAGTTGTGTCCAGAGCCTCTGTGCACAGCGAATCAAGGCAAAAGAATAACACGACCATACATCATGTGCGTCTCTGATATGATTGCATGACAGCATGATAAACAGACACCTACAAAAACACCATCGATACCGAAGGGAAAACCTAACACACTGGAGGAGGGTCGTGAGAAACGTTAATACAAATGAGAAGTAAACTGTTAACTAGAATCAATTAACATCAGAAGACACAGACAACTCGCGATGATATCTGCAGATAGATATGGGGATGGGCAAGAATTCAAACGAAACAACGTCATCATATTGGGTGAAGCAAGAACCAGGAAAGAACTCAAGGTGCTGCTCATGTGACTGGGCAATGAACAAACGCATTGAGATAGACCCTGCCTAGCACATCATGAGGTCGAGGGAGGCCCACAGTCATCAAACCCTGTACCGTAGGAGAAATAAACTAAGCTAGTAGAACCAAATCAGAAGACCCCCAGATCTAAAGCGCAAATTTAATCTGAACAGAATGTGCTGCTCTCATCAAGCAGCAGAAAATATGACAAATAAAGGTATCCAAATAATTGGAGCTTTGTGGAGGGAAATTGTGCAATGCAGCCAATCAGGACCGTGAAGATAAACCGCGAACTGTGAAAGGATCAATCAGAATGACACAAAACTTATAAGAGTGGATGTGTAATCCACCAGTTAAACAGCGTCAAGGCAGACCACAGCGCAACACAGCACGAACGGTCCAGTCAGAATGGGAAGCAATGGATAACAAGGTCATTGGTTAGTGAGCCAATCGAACGCAAGGAGTGCAGGTGAGGATGCAACACGGATCACGACTGAATCAATCGGATTCCGGATGAGATAACTGTCGAACGACCAATCAGGTCAGTGATTAAAGACTACCTTTGCAAGTCCCAAAGGCACAGGCATGAAGACAGGATCTAACGCGCCGAATGGCGCATTGATGATGTCTCCTGGAATTGTGACTAGTCATTTTCCAAGCTCGATCAGTAGCCAGATCAGCAGCCACCCGATTAGCCTCCAATGAATGCACTCAAACTACCAAAATTCCGACACTTCTCCACTGATATGGGTTTCAGTTAGGCCAACTGTGAGACTAACTTCCAATTATCAACTGGATCATTTATTTACCAATTAGATAACCCTCCGTTTGTTTACTGACAATATGACCTCGTATGGCACTGTGATTCAATCAGTCGTGGATATCGTCTGAAGTAAGTAACTGTTACTGTTGTTCGTTTGGGGATATCCCGGGGAGATGAATTTCCAAAATTTGATAAGTCCAAGTCTTTAGACACCGGATTCATTTGACGTTTGAGCCATTAGACAGTCGTCTTCACACATCTCCCTACTCCGCCCCAACTATTGGACTGTATCCGTCATCACTAGAGTTGTGTAGTACGGGCATGCATATTGCGGTTGTCTGTGAAAACTTACGGTGGCAACAAGTGAGCACCTTCCTTCTGGTAGATTTCAGAGTAGTTCTGACTAGCCTGTCGACTAGCCGCGTTTCATTTCGGTCTGTCCTTGAGTTGTTTTGTCACCTAGATTCTTACTATACAAGGCAGTTTTGTCCTTTTATTTCGACTGCTACGTTCCGGTTAATTGGATGTATTTTTGTGTTCCTTTCGGTCCTTTGACTTATTGGTTAGGGCACTTTCCAGTTCAGTTGGCTTAGCCGCTGGATTCGAGACAGCAAGAGACACTAGCCACTTTCTTATAATCTATATGAACGCAAGCAGACAAGAAAGTACCCACACACCCGCAGTGATGGTGTTCCCACGACTGGTGTCGAAATGTCTGCACTGACAAACAGATCAACAGGCCTCTTATCTACAACCAGTGTTCGTTCATTTCTGTGCCGTTTTTTCCAGTAATTGCTTCTTCGTAATACCGGATGCAAACCCTTTTTGCAGCAGGCTAGGCTAGGTTGGTGAAGTTGTTTTGTTGCATGCGCTTTGTTATCAGTGAGTTGTTTTTGGAGCGGGGTGGCGCTGCGCGTTAGCTCAACAAATAAACGCCCCGCTTCGACAGTGTGAGATACCAATCCTTATTTCTTTATCAAGTTTGACTTGGAAGGCAGTGATAAATGTGTCCAAGCCTTATGAAGAATGAACCAAGTCCGTTGAGGACATTATATTTGAACCCGTTTGTGAATGGTTCCGATATAAGACAGTATCATTCAGGCTGTGTGGACAGCTGTCAGACCTCACAACTGTTTGTATTTTGGACTGTTCTGTCTGAATACCGAGGGATTGGGCTGTTCACAGAGCAAGCTTCCAACGTCGGTTGTACCATACGCATCCAACGAAACCCTCTTCGTTGCGATATCTAAAGTTGGTAGGTACTCTATTCAGAGGAGCTACTGACACAAAATTTTAAAAGCAAATTTCAAACAAAAAAGCAAGCCACTTCAGTGCACTTGTCAAGATGGTTTATGAATACGGATGGATCTTTGAGCGTTAACTGAACCTTAAATTACCTAGAACTAGTGCCTTTTTCAATTTTTTTCTAGGATCGGTTCTAGAATGCAACGGTCCAAACAAAACCCTTGTAAAAACGCCACATATCGATATGCCCTTTACTTTCCCTGTTACATGATTAACCGTTAATTTGTGGTGCTCAAATAAAATTTACATCCGATAGCTGACCGAGCTCAGATAAATTTTTACACTGGTCATCGGTGTCTGAAACTACTTGTGCAGGCAAGTAGTTACATAACGTTACGTCTGATTGGGCTGCGAAGCATGTTGAACTTGGTGGTAGTTTGAGCATCGTGTGGTAGCCTGCTGTGTGCAAATCCGCATTTTGCATCCAATCTGCTTTGACCGGTTCAACAGGTTTTTGTTCGCTAACTCTGCAAGATCGTAGGATTTTACAATGAACCAGTGACGATGATGATGATACTTGATCAGTCTTCATTATGTTCGAATCAGGGAAGGATCCCGTAAGCAGGTTGCGGATACCTGGAGGAGTAGAAGATGGGGCTAAATAGCCCGCAGCCATCGCTGCTGCCATCGCTGCGGCCGAAACCGACGAATTCAGCTCGTCTGTTTGCGCATGGTATGACCCATTGCAACTATGGTGTGGCATCCATCCAGCTGATTGGAATGCACTTCGTTTTATGGGATAAATTGTAGAGAGTGCATTGGAAGAGAACTCCGAAGCTGCACAAGCCGACGGAGTATGAACCCAATCAAAACTTTCGAGTTTTGGGGAAGTCTGATGCACACAGTCGAGCCACTGCACGATTCCGGTATTTGACCGATTGGAGGCCGTCGTCACAGAACCAACTAGCTGTGAAAAGTGGTGCATGTCTTTTCGCTTTTTGCCCTGCGTCAATCGCCGATTTCGTGTTTGAATAATTTCCTTCTTCATTGAAAGGGGTCTATTTATCTATAGGGAGAAGATATAGGTGGAAAAATTTTCCGGCATCACTGCTGTTTCTGATGTTTACCTGATAAATTTTGAACTTGCAAATACGAGTACCCAAGAACCTGAGATGACATCGGACTCAAAAAAGAATCAGACAGCTTGAAAAATCAGCCAAAAATACAGCTCTTCTGTACTACAATGAAATTTTTGAGCCTTCTGCAACCAGCGGTACAAAAAGCTTGTCGATACAAAAGCTTCGCCACAAATTTTAGGGCACAATGGTTGCGATACAATCTCGACGGAATCGCACTGGTCACGTTCTTTTATAACTATTTCTTGTGGTCGACGTTGTAATGCACAAGATCCCAACGGTTAAAACTAATATGTAATAATATTAATCGTTCATTCAGCTGTGGCCCCCTTTCGGAGCCTAGCTGCCACCTAAAGTAAGCACGAGGGCTGAGGTACTGACAGGTTGCCCAACCTTACACAGAAGAAGTCGAGGGGCTGAGGTTGGGTTCGAACCACGGACCTTCTGATCAGTAAATTCGCGCCCTAACCACTAAGCCATCTCGCCACGTAGAAAACTAGTGTGTAATTAGCTCTCAGATGAGCCTTTGAGTTTCTCTTAGAGAAGGGTCATTGTTTGGTCAATGTAAATTCGGTGCCTTCAAATGCATCTTGATTATAGGGTTTTGGCCGACGTAACCTGACTACAATCGGCTCTGTCGTTTCAAGTATGTCTTTTTGGATGACCTCCAAACGATTACGCGAAGCACCAGCAGGTCGCTTGTTTAGCTCCCGTAGTTCAAATGCAGGAGAGTAAAAGTTCATCCATCCCCTGATGTGGACAGTGAATGTTGCAACCCATAGTTTGTGAAATGTGCGCAAAAAGGAATATCCTGAATAATCGTGAACTAGCATCTCTCAGAAATGTGTTGCGAAGGCTGGTATTATAGAAGCGGACCCATTAGCCGTACTGAATCGAATCTTCTATGAGGAGAGGCTCTTAAGCGATGCATATCAGTTTTAGAAGTTCTGCAACCGGTAGATGGTAACAATGTGTGTACGTGTGAATAGGCTTTCTTAGGGACCAAAATGGGCTGCCTGGATTCCGTTCCAGATTTTGACGTACATGCTTCTTTGGGTATCTGTTATGGACAAGGCCTACTTCAATGAACCCTGATACTGCTTCAAGAACATCAGAAGTGCATGTCTTCTGAGCCCTATTAGATGAATATCAAACAAGATTTCTCTTCACATAAATGAAGCTATAGAAGTTTGCGTACCGACCAGGCTTCTTTACAGCGTACCACAATTTGTAGCGTCCTATCTGGTCCTCTGATCAACGCAACGTCAAGAAAGTGAGGAATAACGCTAGATTCATCCTCCCCGTTGAAGCTTATCACAAAATGTACCGAGTTAAAACATCTGAGGATCTCATCAGTTGAACTGAAAGAATTCAGGATGGTGAAAATGCCGTCGACACACACGGTAGAATAACGACCGTTCCGTTACGCGGTTAAAAATAGTATGTTTAATCTTGCTCACAAAACGTCATCTTAAATGGCAACGAGTAGGGTGCCCCTAGCTATTCCATTTCTTCATATGGAACTACTAAATGAAAATAGATTGCTGAACGTGCACTGTAGGAGTAATTCTCCGTTTGTCTACAGGAATGGGTACAATAAAGTGAAACCATCGAATAAAGTCGCAAATTTTTGGGCCCCATTCTCACCAGCGAAATTAAAAATTCATGTTAATATACATGATATCTGGGGTGGTTGGGTCCAGTGACTGGGCACTTTTTGGGAATGAACACTTGAGGGGAAGTAATAGGATAACAGACCTTTTTCCGCAATGTTGTGTAAGTCTTGGGACACGTTAGAGTTCTTTGATACAGGGTGTGTGTATTTCAAACTGAGCTAGCAGATAGAACTTTCCATTTCTGTCCTCCGTGGTCTCCATTGTGGGCACTTGACTCAGTGTGCCGTAGGCAGTAGATGTCTCTTGATTATGGACCAGCTTAGTCAGAGCACTCTAGCGCTCTTAAAGGTAACCAGTGACCGATGAAAAAACCGCAAAACTTCCCAAAAATTCACAAATGTGGCCAGTTTAACAAACCCCTGACGTACACATATGAGATAGTTGGGCCATGTTATTCCGGTTTGCTAGCAGAAGTAAATGAATCGTTCTCGTCCACTTACATGATGAAGCTTGTAGTACAACCCGCAAGCATTACATACGGAATCCCCATGCTGATTTCGCCGCCACAACGTTGTGTGTGCTGTTCGGCAGTTTGCACAAATTGTTCCGGATTTCCGAGTTGCTGACTGTGGATGACGGGGAGAGAACACGAATTATACAATTTTTGTGGAGATTATGCAGATTTTGCGATTTCCCTAAAGTATGTACAAAAGACTTTAGTCTGTTCCATTACTGAAGGTGTCTTAACCTGAAACAAAGCTACTGACTAGTCCTCAGCATGTGGGGTAAACCAGCAGGTCACCAGTCTGTTACCACCGTCCACTGCTTTGGACGTTTCGCTCTTACTGTTGCCAATCAAAATTCCAAATCAAAGTTCACCCACAAAACTTTCCGAAAGCTTTCGGAAGCCATCAGCGTTGGACAGCGCTACGGAGCCGCTGATTATTTGACGGAAGAGCTATTCCAACTTTTAGATACATGTCTTGTTGCTCCTCCCCACAGAAACCCATTATCACCAGATTTGAGCTATGCTACCAGTGCCAAAGACGGCATCGTCTGATGTGTTATTACAAATATAATGGGGGATAGAAAAAACCAGGCTGTAGGTTTCATTTTAATCCCGGCGCCCCACTAACCGTCAGTGTTCTTGCTCCGATATCCGGAGTCCACTAACCGCGGAGGTTTTTTCCACGCGGAATTCATTCTACAGATTTCCTAGACATGGGTATTTCCTATTTACTGATTTAGCACTCCAGATTAGTAACAGAAAGGTACAGGAACTCTACACATCATCACATCGATTGACATCAAATGATGTAGAGAGGTTTTGTGGTCACCTTCTCTGCAACTTGCAAAGATCAGCATGAAGCATCGGTTCATAACGGCTGGGGCTTAACTTTTTCCGCGCAAATAGAGGTGTGGTAGGTGTTAACGGTTAACTCCTAAGGCTAGGTTAGCAAAACCTTCAGCTCGTTTGTAGTCCTTACGCACTATCAATCAAGGATGGGCGATATTCCCCGGCAAGATACAAAAGTTTTAAAAATGTTCCGGAGCAAAAGTGTGTGATAGGTTTCCATGAACAGACCTCTACAGACTTGATACAGGGAATAGCTTATCTTTCCTCATTCACCTCTTCGAATCCTGAGACAATGTTGGCCAATGTTGGATGACAAATGATGGTAAGGGCTATTTTGGAGAAGAATGGTCATCCTCAAATATTTTAGTAAGTAAAAACTATGGAGATTTGCGTCTGTATGTGAATTACAGGAAGCTGAATGGGGTGACATACCTGATTTCGTCCGAATCCCTAGGATCGACATCACGTTAAGCGTCTTGCAAGGATCACTGTTTTCCCATCCTCCATCTGGTTCATGCATATTCAAAGGTAAAGATTTGACCAAAAGATCGTCTAAAAACTACCTTCATTATGCCCCAAAATCTCTAAGAATTCTATACCATTCATTTGTGGCTAGTAGACGTCTCTGCCGCCTTTGAGTGTCAAGGTTATTCAAGACCGGATCATTGTCTTATCTACCTAGATGACGTCACTCCCACCCCACACACACTGCTTATTGGAACAGGCGACCAGAGCTTGAAAGAAGTTCTGATAGGCTTTCACGATGCGGAACTCAAAATGTATGCGGCCGAAGCAAGTTGTGTGCTTCTTTGGCTACAAAACAACTGTGGTTGTCACGGCGGATGACTCAATATTAGCTCAGATATCCAATGGAGCACAAACTACATTAGATAGAACTTCTCATTTGAAGTTCCATAGTATTGGTATCTCTGCTCCCTGTGAGACTGTAGCTTCAGTACACAAGTTTAAAGAGAGGGACAGGAAGATTATGTAAAGTGATCAGAGCGTTTGGCTTCCGAGATGTAAAAGGTAAGCTAATTTGCACAGCAGTACTGGTGCTGCTGGATGTCATACTATCTGCTGTTTTGTTCATATTGGATACCGATGTGAGCGTACTCGACTTCAAGTATCACATATTTAATGTGGATAGGCAGTTGTCACAAGTTACGATAGCCGAACACGAAAGGAGCTATGGTTGAACCATACTCGCGAGTACGATTTGCAGAGCGCCTAGCTTCCCGGAAAATAAGACGGAACTAATAATGCTGTCACCCACGTCCCGAATAGCGCTGCGATTACTGTCACCAGTGACGTGGAGATCAAGTGGGCACAAATACGAGAAAACAACTCGTACATATCAGCTATATATCACCCACAAGTAAAATTGATTCACTAACCTGTCGGGAAATTACGACACGATCCTCCAAGAAAAGCTGTCTGTAGCATCACTGAATCAACCTCGGGATAAGTAATGACATTCTATACGTTGTGACCGACAGAACACAGACTAAGGAGTTGGTGATTACATCCAAAAGATCAATAAGGTGGTACATGGAGCCTACCACGAGCTTGAACATGCTGGTAAGTTGGAAGTAACGACACCTTTTCTGGTGACCATGCCCCCATAAGGGTGTCAAAGATTTCTGCCCTCGGTGCAAACGCTATGCTCCAGTATGGGGTCCAGAGGCTGCTTCTTGGAATGCCTTGTGCAGCTTTTTGATCAACAGTGCCCTGGGGTCAAAGTACGTAGTCCTCTTCCTTCAGCGCAGAAAAGTAACAGATGGTTTTCAGCCGTAATGCACCATTTCACCAAATATCACAAGACATATTTACTGCTTAACCAAGATGCCTAGACAATGGCACCACTGCTAGTCAACGAGTGAGTTTCCCGTTACGGATTATCCCTGATAGAGTCACTGAGTTTTAAAGCCATTTGAAAGTTGGTTCTTGTGAATTTGTTAACTGAATGTGGGATCTACCGTTGGAAGACTCAATGACCTGCGTTATCTTCATACTAGAAAAATTTACAGGAACGCCTTAGCAGTGCTTATGCAGGAGTGCTGGTGATACAGGTTCATACCGGAACTTTCGATACCGTGAGCTGGGTGGGACTCAACAGCCAAGGAAATTGGAGGTAGTGTAATCGACTGCTTGAATCTTTGCTGTAGGCCACATGAAGAAATCGGCTTCATGCTGTTCTTTGTACACAGACTTTGTTCAGACCAAAATGCTCCATCCAGTACAGGTCTCTCCTCATATTTGTGCTTCCCCAGAATGCCCACGCGCAGATCTGGGGGTTTTCCCGAAATACTTTTCTTCCTAGTCAGCGGCATATTCTACAAATCATTGCTTGGATTGTGGTTTGTCTAACGCTGTGAACTTTCGAACTCGACCTCAGAGCCGCCTTGACAGTGTATTCATGAACTACCACCTGTGTGCACATTCACACTTAAATCAATGGAGGGTGATTCAGAAGCACTAAATATTCTTAAGGGCGCATGCCGATCGAGTGGTGCAAGTGACTCCTCATGCGTTTTACTTTTTACAGCGGTCTATGAAACGTTATCAACGTTTTTCAGCTAACATCTTCGCATGCGTAATAGTCACGCATTTGGCTTTGGGCACAATTTTTGTGCAATCTTGGTGGCAAAGGATTTAATTGACTATAAGTTTGTTTTCCAGGTATCTTCAGAGGTGTTAGATGCTAAAAAAGTTCTGAATTCTTGTCGAGTCATCTGGATGGATACAGCTTACGCGAAGAAGATTTAACACCATGGCACTCGTTGTTTGTCTGCACTTAGTTGGCGCAGTGGTCACCAGTAAGTTATGCATCAGAGGCACCACTCTCGATAAATCTATCGTACCTTCTGCTGAGCGAATTTTCCGACTAGTTTCTTTGCTTCCTTTGCATTTTCAGGGAAGAGTAATCACACATAAAGTTTATATTTACCGCACTATCACACTCAGAACCAACTTTATGCTAAGTTGTTGCTGATTCGGCACTAGACATCACTGCATATCTGAGCGACCTGCGTTGCACAATCTGAGCGAGGCAACATCAGTGTGGCCACTCACTTTACTGGAAACTGTCTTCGGAAACTGCTCAGCAGAAACTTATGAATTCGTATTGGATATGGCTTCCTGAAGGAGTGACCCTCATTGGAATCATAATCAGTCCCACTCTGACAAAAATCTTCCTAGCAGTCAGTACTCCAGAAACACAAACCTTAAATTGACTGGGAAGAAATGTTACTAGTTGCCCATTAAACACGTTTTGGGTACCCTGGTACAAAAAACTACAAGCAGATAGCACCACCATGGGACAAGGAACAACCTACAAAGGGACTGATCCCTGAGAACGGTTTATAGGTGGATAGCCACAGATGCAACTTTGTCATATTACTCATTTCTTCCATGTAGGTTCCATAAGAATGAACAAGTCTACATCACTTTCTTTGGAATAATGGTCATATCCATGCGTAACTGCTGCTGGCCTTCTAGTGCAAACGATGTGATTGTTGTTTGTGTTCCATCAGATTTCTTATGTGGGGAATATTCGAAACGTCAAATGATAAGAACCTCTAAATATTTGCCCAACGATGTTCTTCAGCGCTCTGGACACAAGAAAACCGTGTCGTTCGCTGTGACCGGGAGATTCCTGAATGCTTCGTCAGAATCAGTATTCAGCGCGCCAGCCTCGTAAGCAATAATGTAGGTTCCGATTAATGGATTCTAACAAATGGCCAACTCCCTTCCTCTGAATAGAATAACTTCAGAAATAGCAACATTGTATGTGGAGATGGCAAACGAACCTAGGATCAAATTTAAATGTAAAGGACAACCAAGTAGCCACTGATTCGCCCAGATGGTCCCAGGCACTGAGCCTAGAACCCACATGGATGTTGACTGGTACTGGTTATTCCGGATTTTAAGAAGCTCAGGGGAACAAATCTTTTTGATTTTGTTACTTCCCATCAGGTGAGAGTAGAAAGATCACCAAGTGGCCAGGAAATTCACCGCCTTACACTTAGAGCAAAGGATATGCTGAGCAATGTACACTTCACATTTTCATTTTCGAGCGGTAGTTATTTAGCTTTCAAGAATTTTTCTGCTACTCAGAGCTGCCTGTCCACTAAGTTAGTGCTGCTGATTTTTCTGGTAAAGCTGTAGTTAGCACCCTTGGGTAGCACTATCAGGCAGAAACTGCTACTGCTTGGCTTGCTGTGAGACTCTTGCCACACATTTTTTCATCAGTCAGTAGTCTTCCCCCTGATGTTGCCTGCCCAATAGTTTTACCTAATCTCCAGTGATCGTTAACTCTTAGAAACTGAGAGTACTGCGCCATCCACTTGTTTACGAATTTCGACTCTTAATGGACTACCATCGTTGTTGATGACTTCCACTTATTGGAAATCCAGACTGATGTACAAATAATTCTTTCGAAGTGTATCAACTCATGAACCAAGGAAAATTACCCTAATTAGCGCACTTAGTGGTGGGCGGCATTTCCATCGGTTTCCCAGAATGCATACTAGTATTAATCAGCTATGTCATGTCATCCATACTACCACCGAGAACAAAATATATTTATACCCATAATTATTACTGTTGGCCTATTGGAATTAAATGCAGCTGTACATAATCAGTGATGGTCCATATTATCCCAACAAAAGTTGAATGAGACCTGACAGAGTTTTAGAAATCTTTGCATGCATGAACATTCTTTACTTACCATGCGTCGTTTGGGTTTGATCAACGGTCGACTTGTGCCATTCATTTTATGGTAGAGACCACATGCATTGCATAGGTAGTGACCAGTCTCGTCACGTCTCCACAGTGGCGTCTGTGTGGCACCGCAATTGACACATTCTCGTCCATCTGAATGTAGGATGGTCAAAAGGAACTTAAAGTAAAATTTAACTCTCTAGCCACTGATTCGCCCAGATGGTCCCAGGCACTGAGCCTAGAACCCACATGGATGTTGACTGGTACTGGTTATTCCGGATTTTAAGAAGCTCAGGGGAACAAATCTTTTTGATTTTGTTACTTCCCATCAGGTGAGAGTAGAAAGATCACCAAGTGGCCAGAAAATTCACCGCCTTACACTTAGAGCAAAGGATATGCTGAGCAATGTACACTTCACATTTTCATTTTCGAGCGGTAGTTATTTAGCTTTCAAGAATTTTTCTGCTACTCAGAGCTGCCTGTCCACTAAGTTAGTGCTGCTGATTTTTCTGGTAAAGCTGTAGTTAGCACCCTTGGGTAGCACTATCAGGCAGAAACTGCTACTGCTTGGCTTGCTGTGAGACTCTTGCCACACATTTTTTCATCAGTCAGTAGTCTTCCCCCTGATGTTGCCTGCCCAATAGTTTTACCTAATCTCCAGTGATCGTTAACTCTTAGAAACTGAGAGTACTGCGCCATCCACTTGTTTACGAATTTCGACTCTTAATGGACTACCATCGTTGTTGATGACTTCCACTTATTGGAAATCCAGACTGATGTACAAATAATTCTTTCGAAGTGTATCAACTCATGAACCAAGGAAAATTACCCTAATTAGCGCACTTAGTGGTGGGCGGCATTTCCATCGGTTTCCCAGAATGCATACTAGTATTAATCAGCTATGTCATGTCATCCATACTACCACCGAGAACAAAATATATTTATACCCATAATTATTACTGTTGGCCTATTGGAATTAAATGCAGCTGTACATAATCAGTGATGGTCCATATTATCCCAACAAAAGTTGAATGAGACCTGACAGAGTTTTAGAAATCTTTGCATGCATGAACATTCTTTACTTACCATGCGTCGTTTGGGTTTGATCAACGGTCGACTTGTGCCATTCATTTTATGGTAGAGACCACATGCATTGCATAGGTAGTGACCAGTCTCGTCACGTCTCCACAGTGGCGTCTGTGTGGCACCGCAATTGACACATTCTCGTCCATCTGAATGTAGGATGGTCAAAAGGAACTTAAAGTAAAATTTAACTCTCTTTTTCTCATGGTAATATATATATATATATATATATATGGCAACTGATCAGGTGGCTGTTGTTCTGTTCACCGAGCTTGGCAGTCGATCTGCAACCGTTTCGTCACCATTCGAAGAGATATCTTCAGTGCGCACCAACAACAGCGCTCTGATCTACAGCCACCTGATCAATTACCAACTAATGCACCCAAGCTACAAATATTCTAATATATTACCTGTATATATGTATATTCGGAGAACTAACACTCTACTGATGCAGCATACTGTCAGAAAAGCTCATCCAATTTTAAGGGCGATAAGCGTCAAGCAGTATCCACGCGTTGCACGAACACAATAGTTGTACAAGATATGCTACCATGTGTTTTTTGGATTTTCTCCTAAACCAAACAGCTTATTGCACATTCGATCATTCGGGTGAACCTCACGCCCAAAATTTCCCCTACATTGGCTTTCACTAATTTCATACATGAATATGTTAAATGCCCAGATAGCCGGTGTTTTGGAAATTGATTTGGAGTTGACGAGGGACTCAACTGAAGTTCATTTGAACCCCTCGGTTGTAATAGTCACCATCTGGGTGTTCGGCAAAAAGGAGAAGTCATCATTTCAGAAGCCGTTCTGATTCGACGGAAACCTGGGCAGTCTGGCGACACTTTCTCCCTACCTGGGGATCACCAGGTAGTAATGAAACGTTCTTCGATATCTTGAAAATCTCTCCAAGAGAAACTTGAATTGGACCCTGTTAAGCGGCTTCGATCGAAGAATACTTTAAACCGGAGATTCAAGTAAATTTTGGCTGAATCTCCCGCTAACACCAAAACAGCTCGCAAAGGAGTCTTTAATACAACATAAAGAAAATTTCGCGCTCGAACAAGGAATACGGTTAACATGGATTTCGAAATAGGCCTATCTGATGGGCTCTAAAAAGGAGGAAACGGGAGTGCGATTTCCAAGGTTTTCATCGGCCATGTTGAAGGTATTTAGGATAAATAATTCGAAGTTAGGGTTTTCCATGGGGACTACTGAAACGATTTAACCAACGGCCTCCTAATTAATATGCGGAATCCTACGCCAAACCAGCTATGGGCAGAAAATTGGATGTTGCAATCCTTAAAAAATCAAACTCGGTCTGGCATGATCGCTAGGTGTGACTGGTCAACAATTTGGGTTCAACAACCAATGGCATTTTAGTGTCCGCTCAGAGCCTGCTGCCTGCCAATGCATATTGGATGTGCGCAGCAGTTTTGACTTGTTTTTGGCAGTAATACGCCACGTGCAACTCTGATGTTTGTTCTGCTAAAAAACACTAGTACGGAGACGTCAAGCTGACCACTGAGCCGCTATAAGATCGTCATTTTATCACTGAAATGCCTGATTGTTATTTTAAGGCACTAATTTTCTCTGAACAGAGTACCTTCGGAAGATACCTGCCCCGGAAGTTGCGACTTTTGGTTTCACTTATCGAATGGTGTCTCAGGAAAGGAAGAAATGCTTTCATTTATAATTGGCACACGAAGGACTAGGCCCGACAGAGAACGGAACTATGTGCGTCTCAAACTGCCCATTAACTAACAAAAATGAGACTCAGTCACATCTATGATCATGCACAAGAGGGTGATTGGCGTCACAAAGAATATCGATCACTATGCCTTCTGGCACGTTGCTTAAAAATGTCCCTACCCGTAAACAGTTGGGGCGAGATCACTCAAATTCTGGAGCTATTTGACCATTGCAGATGCGAATTTAGAAGGACCCACTGAACTTATTTTTACATGTTACTTGTCGATTGATCTTGTCGTAAAACTTATTCTGGGTAGCATACATGCATCGATCTGTTACACAGCTCTCGTATCACACTGGAATTTTTCATACGGTAGTCTTAACCTAGTCCATTTCTGCATAAGCTGGTCGCTAGGGTTGGCTGTAAGTAGCCTTTTCTTGGTTGCAGAGGAAACTTTATAAAGTGAGCTTCAGCGTACGTACCAAAGATAGTGTCGCTCAAACCTGGAAGAAAGTAATGGCTGGAAATGGCGACAACATATCCTGGTCATCAAATTTTGGCACTGTACGGAGCAATATGCATGTTAAAAACGTTAAATTGACAAGTTTGTGTAGTGTGGAAGGCCAAAACACCAGAATGATCATTGTGAGGTCATATCATGATTGACTTTGCATGACGTTTCATAGGATGTAGATAGGCGCGATGTTTAGCGGGAGTAGGCTAGCACGTTATCGTACCACGTAAGCAACAAAATCCGTTTTCCCCCAACTTTCCTAAAAATGACCGATTGAATTCTGTGATTTCTAGCCAGTATGGCTAAGAAAAAATCGTATCCTGTAAAAATTCTATTCCAGCTTTTCACAATCACTTTATTCAAGAAAACATGGCATTAACTGGGTGCACTTTTGGTGCTTTGACGGATGTGAACAGCCTTAAGCACCGGTTTCATAACGCAGCTTTTTGAATACAGAACACAGGTAACTGGTTTGTTATATCTAAACAAGTACGAACGGGTTTAATTTTGTCCAACCTTCTAAAGTTACGGGAAATGTGACATACATGTGGTGTTTGAGTCCAGGTAATGGAGACATCCGTCGTTTAGCTACGACATAGGCTTGGGCAGAGAAATTATTGATAGTTGAACTCATCGATGGATTTTAACCGCGAAATTCAAAATCTCAGAGTGGATGGTTGTAGCTATGAGAGTCTGAACCTAGTAACTGTGGGCCATCTGCTGAGACCAAGAGGACCTCGACTGTTTTATGTGGTTGATGCATTTGCTGGATTCGCGTTCACCTCACTCTGGTATTGATAGTCCTTTACCAGTCCCGGTGCCATTATTCTACTGAGTACACACCGAAGCGGAGAAACACGACGAACCAGGAACTGTCCTTATTGTGTTGGTCGACTGACTCGCCCATTAGGACTTCCCAGTCAGGCCGTCAGTGACGCTTCAAGCCTACTGAACGGTTTTTTGTGTTTGTTGTAGGTGGTTGCGTCCGTGGTGCTGCCTGAGTGGGAACTCATTAGGGGCGGGCCAATCGACCTACGCAATAAGGGCTTTACTGGGTCGTTGTTCGGGAAGTTGGATGAACCGATCACACCGCTCAAGTGCGGACAAGCTCACCTGCTCAGGTACGCCCAGCGTGTGACAGTGGGATAGCGGCGACGGGCTCGAATCACATGTCTGGAGTTCAACTCCGACAAGACCAAGGATGTGCACTGATAGCAAGCCCTAACAAAAGCAAAACTAAAGCGTACTGCTTCCGGGCTTCGGTAATTACTCGCTCGAATAATTTCCTGAGGACTGTTCGTATGGAAATGATATGGACGTGAATCAAACTGTTTCCTCTAAACTGACTACGATACTACCACCAGTGACTTAAAAGAAAACTAAAAGCTAAGCGATGCTTTGACTTTCAAAAGATTACCACCTACATTCAATAACATCTACTCTGGTGGCACACCACTGGAAACAAATAAATTCCCGTGCACTTCATTTCGAAAAGTCATTCCTGTCAATCTTGCTAGACAGAACTTCAACTGAAAATGGTAAAGCTAGGATAACCAGGTACAGTTAAACCGAAATGCATGGAATCTCATTTGGTCATTTCATCTACTTTAGGGATAATCAGCTAATCAAATAGTGATCTCACCTGTTAGGTTACGTGACTTGCTACGTAACTTGCTCGCTAACGAGGATATTCGAAGCATGTGAACAGTCGCTGCTGCTCGATCGAATTCACCGAAGGCTGCGGCAGCTGCGGCGGCGAAGGTTGGCATTTCTTCGTTGGGGAACCGGACTTCTGAATGCCAGCTCTGCTTCAGCTTACCGTGGTGTGTCATATCCGACGGGGAAGCTGGAAGGATGTGTGCTGACGTCGACTCGGTTGATCTAGAGTTTTTATGTTCACTGACGTTTCCATCGTGGTTTAGGGAAGTAGTTGATCCCACTTGAGACTGTCTCTCTTTGTAAGGACTTTGATCTCCTGGATTGCCATTTGATACGCTGTGTTCAGAAGAATTCGCTATAAATTGGCGAGGTGATACAAAATTACTCCGATCAAAAGTAGAAACTATACATATCTTCGAACCTTCACTAATTGGTTGATAATTAGATTTCGTATCCTGCTCCGTTGGTTGATTGGTGGTAAGGTGGTCAGGTTTTGTGTTCCAGGTGGAAGATTTTGAAGCGCCCGAGCCAGAATCGCCCCTAATGACAATGAAACATAGTATGTTAAGATATATCACCCAAGTCATTAAATGTTCAAAGGTGTACCACCACAAATCACGTCAGTTGTAGCACCTAAAACGTTAACTACCCTCCACCGTCCAAAAACTAATAAAAAACCCGTGAGGGGAAGCTTTATTTTTACCAAACTGACCAGGTTCCCAATTATGTTAGAAGTGCATTGCAAAAGCCCTAATATCGAAGCATACTGTGTGCGAACGGGTTTTCTAACGATCAACGGCATAATTGTTGCAGCTAAACCGTAAGTTAAACGGTTAGAGAACTTATTTAACTAGAAGTGTGAACAAAGCTTTTATTCTTGGTTGAGGTAAAAAGGTTTTCTGTTCAATCAAATTGATCAATATGGAAGACGATACCACTATTATTAGTAGCAATAATGTTGGAATTGGTGTCAGTGTTTTGTTGTCACTGTGAAGCAACAGTTGCAAATCCAACAAAAGCAACATGCGTCGTAGCAGATGATACTCTATATACTTAATCCTTGTCACAATCATCCGTCACCGATCAGTATATTGGATTAATCACCCGCTGGCCTACTTAATTATCGATCAGCTGCAATTCGAACGAAATTCTAGCTCTATTTCCTGTCTGTTCTATCCTATATTCTGTCTACCTGGGAGTTAATCAGATTGCTGACCAGCCACTGACGTGTAAACGGTTACATGTTCAAACTACTAGCCGGGAGGTCGTGGGTTCGAAACCACATGGAGTGTCGTGGAACGCACACTGTTTATGATCCCCAGTAGGTTACATGTTCAAACTACTAGCCGGGAGGTCGTGGGTTCGAAACCACATGGAGTGTCGTGGAACGCACACTGTGTATGATCCCCAGTAGGGTGAAACAAGCGTACAGTGCTTCTCGGCTTTTCAGCATGGAATGGCTTCACCTGAAGGCCTCAAATCTCTTCACACTACCAGTAAAATTCTGATGATTGATTTGGCGGTTCACCTTAGGATCTATTCAACATATCCGCTCATTGTTACTTGCAAGGAGTATGAAACTATTGGTGTTGTTTTATTGTTCCGTACTTGCTAATTCCGAATCTCGCAGCCACCCGCAAGTAATCAGAAGTAGTCCATCAGGTTTCAAGCATCAGCGTCTTTATCTGAGTGGGAATTTCTTACAGAAGAGACAGTTGGCCGACATAATAAGGACAGGTAGTGGTTTGTTGTTCGCGTTGTCTGCCAAATCACTCACACCGCTCAAGCAGGAGCAAGTTCGCTCGTTTTGGACATGATAATTTAGGTGCGCCTAGCGTGCGTTGGTGGAGTAGTAGTAAAACGCTTGACTCACCTGTCAGATACTCAGAGTTCAAGCACCGACGCGGCCAAGGATGTGCACTTCTGGTGAACTCTACTCAGAGTAAAACTCGGGTGCGGTGCTTCCTCGTTTCGGTGTATACTCAGGATAATAATGGCGCCAGGAATGGAGGCGGACTGTTCATACGACAGCGATGTAGTTACGAATAGTATATTGTAGTATGAGCGGCCCCAAGAATAAACGTGAATGCATTTATCTGCTTTTCAGCTGCAGTTTTACGGCCTTGATCTTAGTAAGCTTCACCTGCTATCGTGTACTATATCATGGAATTATTGCCTTTTTTTGTAGTCTCAACATCGAATTCCTACCACGTTACTCATGAAGTTCAGGTACATTAGCGGAATGTGGGACAATCTTTGTGGCAGTTCAGCCAGCAGAGTACCTGTCCGCGAGTAATAGATAGGTGGTACTATGCTTTGCTTAAGCAAATGTCCTATCGTTTTATTTATTGGTGAGCCGAGAAATCCGTGACTGCAACTCCTGTTCACCTGGGATTCAGTCCCCAAAACAAAAATGGGAAATGGCATTGTATGCAAAGAAAATGACGGCCCGGCTCCCTCTCAAATATTTACGATGAGGGTCCTTACTATGATCTTATTCTCTCCGATTATCTTGTGATGAGGTGTTCTGTTTTCCGTCCCAGATGTTGCTTAGGATTACTGATGCAGATTAGCATGAATAAAATGAAACACTATCCAAATTTAAACTGATTATTGAGTCTAATTTAGCGGTTTATTCAAAGAGGTACCAAATGTTACAAATATACCTTGTCAGTCTTGAAGCTGCGGAACGTTTCCAGTGGCCTTGTATGTCATTCACTTGCCCAAAATTCGGCGTTTCGCGAGTATCCCGCTCAAGATTTTCTGGTAGCAGAACTTCCGGTATCGATACTTGGATGCGATCAAACTGCGGCATCAGTGCGGGCTTGTTGGTTTCACCACGGTTTGCGAGAGAGGCTCCTAGTTCATGGGTGCTGACATTGGGAGTCCATTGAGATATCGACGTGCCCGAAGGTGGATGCATCACCGGTAACGTAATATCTAATATGCTATATTTTCATGGACTGAAAGGGTTACCGTTTTGTCCTGCGTATGAACGCATGAAAGGAGTGTAAAATTCGGAGACCGCCCTTGACCACATAGGTGGAAACGTCACATCCGAATTTTTGTCTGCGAGAAAGGCAGTTGCAAAACGCAGCACGGTACTGATCAGTATTTAGCGGTGTTTGGATGTAAAAACAGTGAATTTGGTAGGTGCTCTGGTTACCAACATTGCTTACTGTAATAAGTTAATTGCGTTGTAGACAACACTGTGGGTAACTCCAAATAGGCGTCAAGAAAAGATGAATCAAGCCTAAGAAAACAGTGCACTTCAATTCCCAAGTTCTGAACTTATAGTAACCCGCTTGATAGCTAGTGTCGGAGAGTCTGTCGAGTACCGATTCAGATCCGGTAAAGGTTGGCTTCTAGGATTTCTGCGAGATAACTGGATGAAATAAATGTATATCTGAGCGTATTCACAACTGCTAATCACTTACCAACTGAGGCAATCTAGACTACTGGATGAATTTCTGTCAATAGCTTGTATCATTCTCACTCACCATGCTCATGCTTTAATAGTTTGTAATTGGTATCCAAATTGAGAGAACATAACCAGGAGGCGTTAGGAAATGCCCCAATAAATCTTGAAATGAGCAGTCTGCGTGTGTTATGAACGACCCGACACACCTTGGTAAGGCCAGAATAGAACACACCTACACACATGTGACTTCTCGCAATAACCACGTTGTGTGTAGTACTTTCATCTATCATCTGCTTGTAGCTTTCACTATATATCACCTCCGTCATCTCAGCTGTTGAATTATAACTTTATAGCCCGGAATCGATGCGCACTCTGCCAGTACATAAGTTTTTTTCATCAATTTCTTTGCCTTTAGTGAGGAATTTGACGGATTCAATCACCCCTTTCGGGGACTTTTAACGAGTTTTCCGTTTTAGACTAGACTTATGGAAGTGGTTGAAACCTGTAAGCTTGTTTTGTATTCAATTTATTCTGTAATGATAGGAAATGCCAGGAAGGTCAGGTTCTTGAAGATCATCCCAGAACATACGAGCCTACTGAAACCCTCAATCTTCACTAAACGCCGATCAGAGAGCCTTGGATTGATATCAGACACTACCCTTCAAAATATGTGCAAAACAGCTCTGGATCAAGGCCAAACGGTGTCCTTAAAAATACAGCGCGAGGCCGCTGTGCTTACGCGCACCCGCTTGTTTCCGATAAAGCTGTTGTGTTCCTAGTCGGTGAGTCTTTTTTCGATACCAAGTTGTTGGGCTCGGGGAAAGCAGTCAGATATACCAGGATTGACGAGGAGGTGCTTTGTGGACCATGGCATAACTCAGTTTGGAATAACTGTCTTGCAACAGATGAGTATGTATTTCGAGGTATGCATTATGTCTCTATATCGCTCGCGGTCTGCGAGAAATTGCACCCAGATATCAAAAACACCTGTATCAGTAAAGTTTAATTCTCCCGTGAAGATAGCACTCCGTTTAATCAGAATGTAAGGCACGAATGTCGATAGGTATTTGGTGCACATACTAGCGGCCATATCAAGCCCTGCAAGCTCGGGACATACTAATCAATAAACATTAGTTCGCAACTAATTTGCTTATCGACAAGAATTTCTGATGTTAACTTACTATGTACAGTAGAAAAATTAACTTATGCTAGGTGGGGTAACCAAGTAACTAATATCTGATCGCCTAAATCCGAGGCCATTGCGATGGATGGCCTGGTCATTTGACGCCACATACACTTGCTAAGTCAAGTTAAGAGATGCTGCTACCGCGGTTTTTTCACAAGCCCAGTACCATTCGTATAATCGCCAGTAATTACGGAGAATTCTGGTGGTATCAAATGGCGTGCTGCTTGCAGGATTCGATCTTCAAACCACTATTTGTTTCCCGGACAAATTCTGCCAAGTATTTAACCCCAGGCAACTGCTCTCCATTAATTTCGTACTTACGAGCGTATTTTGAGTGAGAACGACACGAATTTGTTTTCCTGATCAGAATCCAGAAACCCCTCAGAGCCAAGTAAGAGACTGAAGAAATGAAATGTGTGCCATATGGCCACACTGACAAAAATATCAACATGGCCTTCGTCACTTGCTAATTTCCACGTCTTTCGGCATCCGTCTGCCACGGGATTAGTCTGGCTCATGTGACCCTGACTCCTATCCCAAAAGACAGCCCACTGCACTCGTGTTCGACACGTAATGGTTGTGACACCACATCGATTCTCGGGCTTGCTAGGAAGGACAGTCAATGTGGTTTATAGCCCAAATCCCACGAGACCAGTCAACCAACCTCATCGCCGGAGATGACAGGAGACATCCCAAAAATCATCTGGATGTAAGTTACTCATTGTTCAACTGAAGATTCTCATTCCCCCATCTATAAACACATCAATATTATCCTTCCAGACACATTTAAATTCGTCTTGTCTTTCGCAGTAACTATTTGGGTGTTTTTTTCCAGACATCTTCAAATTTGTCTGAAGAAGCCACTCACTACCGCTTATTGTCTTTAATAAGCAGATGACACTTCAAGTTGGTTTTCATTAGATTCAGTCGTTAAAGTGAAAGGCAAAATGCCTTGTCTAATTTGGAAACCGCAGAAATGCTCCGTACCATTATGTCCCGCTTCATTCTGTGTATTTTCTTCGCGATACGCGTATGTGAGAATTTATTGTCGAATATAGTCTGGAGCGATTTATGTTTCAGGCTAATGGTTTGTCTTAATATTGATTCACTCTCGGTGCCAGTGTATCATCATTTACGGATTTAAAGGACCTCTCGAAACCAAACCAATTTTTGAAAGCGGGAACATATGAGCTTATTACAGGGCTGGTGATAAAACTGATTCAAAATCCTTGACTGCCCACCGTGGGTTTCAACTTTCCTGTGGCTCACCAGGTAAGCATAGTCTTAGAGTTCCCATCAATCTTATTTCTATTTGAACGCCAAGTTGTGCGTAAGTGAAGTTTAGTCACTTATTAAATTAGTATTAACAGGGACAAACTAGTATTTTTTTGGACAAGGTACTGCAAAGTACATACAGGGGGGATTACAGGGTGGTAGCAGGAAGTAACTCGAGATATATTCATCAGATGGAGACATGCCCATGGTATTTATTAATCGTGTGCACGATTTAATCACCGGTGTGCATTGCAGAATGCTCACTTATAGGCAAAACCAGTTAGCTTAGGCTTGGACAGTCTGGGACGAAATGTGAACACCCGAAGGCAATGGGACAAAAATACGATGACTGTCCACAGGCACTATGGTGATTAGTCGACAAAGAGTACGAGCAAGATGGAGATAGTTGGTTCTGCTGAGGACTACGGAAGCTGAGCGATTCACCTCAAGCCAATCACTTTTGGTATTCGTTTTAGAATGCTTACCATAATGATGTCTTCTGCGGTCATTCGTCTTTCAGCAGTCAGTCCATTTGCAGTTTCCCTCCACATCTGCAAAATTACAAATCCATTCGTGAGGAACGTTATCCAGCTGAGTTGTGAACGTTTCCTCTTACATTGCTCGTACAACATTGTAGTAGATAACCTTCATCTAGCAAGTGACATTTAATTATGGTTAACGTATTCAAGGTCCACCTGCAAGTAGCTGATCTACTCACACGTAACTCGAAAACATACACAATGGCCTTCAAACTCTACCTGTACGACTAAAAGCGTATATGGTGTTGTCTTTGTTTGGAAATCCATCATCTGCCCTTCAGTACATTCGAATGATCTGGTGGGTCATGATGAGACATCTACGCTTCTGCCAAACAACATAATCGAGAGGCAGGCAATGCCGGCTTACATGATGCCAGTATGACAACTCATAACACCCTATGGCAAATACACAGTTATCTAATGGGAAGTCACCGGGATTCGCTGCTGCAAATTCCTGTCGTTCAATGAAGTGTGCACCGAATTTGATTCAACAGGGATGAGGAGACAAGGGATTCTACCACTTATCTGAGGAACTGAGGGACGTGGTTAAGGTGAGATCATGTGCTGGAGGTGTCGTATGCAAACGCTTTAGGTGTTGATTACCGCCGTAACCGTTCAAAACGAGGACTGGGTGTGCTAATTTATGACTTCCATAAACGACAGAAGCCTTTGCGATCCAACGATTTTCCGCTGCGCATCCGCAAGCAGCCCGACAAAATTAGGCTTTTTACAAACCTGTGTGCAAATCTGCAGAGCGGATGCAACCTGCTTCCATATCATGTGTCAGAACTAAGTGGTACTATGGTTGAACGAGTGTGGCATGGTGGCGACGTAGGTAATTTGATCCACTCGTGCTTGGGTTTGCTCGCAATCATGCTTTTTAAAAGTTAAAATTTGGGGAAGCGATAGCTTACATGTACGGCGAGCCAGTCAGTGAAACAGTTATCCGTCCAAGGGAAGGCACGTGATGGTCTCGCAGTGTGACACATGACTGTAGCTATCTGATAACTTGTAAAGAAGAGGTCCCTGTTTCTAATGTGAAACTAGATGATGGCCAAGGGAAAAAGACGAATATTTCTTGAAAGCAAACAAAAAGTGAGGTGTGGAGAACAGGTGCATGACAAATCTCGTCAGAATGCCAGTATGGGTAGGGACTTAGTTACGAATGGTTGGTTGGTGTTCTACCCTTGCGGCTGATATTCTAGACCATGCCGAAATATGTTGGCTTACAAAACTCTATATATGTTGATGGATGTATTACTCACAATACAAACCAGCAGTTTTGTTCACCGTAGATCCCGAATGAGTGCTTTTTGGGAATTTCATCACATGCTAAGTGCGTGGAAAAGATAGTGTTTCGGCAAATTATGTAAAGTAACAAGAAGAATGAGGTAAAGCGCTCATTTTTTTGGGAAAGCTTGTCCCTTGATTGAAAATCATCCTCACCCCACAAAGATCACTTCTTTTTCTTACAACAGAATGTACTTGATGCCGGGATAGTAACTACAGTACCTATTTTTCGCGTAAACTTTCATGGAGATGAACAAATAGTCGTTCTCATTAAACTCCATCTTCAGCATCTACCAGCATCCAGTTGACCTGTCTCTAGCAAAAAATCCAAGGGTCAAGTTGTCAAACATTAGTTTCTAGCATATTCTCTCTCCCTCTCTCTGAAGGGACCTCTCTCCGAAAAGCTTGTTCCTCGGCGTGTTTTCCAGAAGATAAAAGACTTATGGAACAGGTTACTCGTGCTCGTTTCCTTCACACTGTATCACTGTATTCCAAGAGGAATGTCATGTGTGGGATTAAGCCAACAATTTCAGTAGAATGCCTAGGAATTCATCTGTACCGTTCAGACTGAATACGCAAGCACTACAAAGCTTGATGATAAAAGGCATCCAATGTAATACTAATGTAAATGAGAGAATATCATTCTGTGGTCAACATAAACTGAAATACGATAAAAGAAACATGTCTGGAGTGTGCTAACAGCTCTTCGAAAACCCCACACCGGTTTGGCCATTCTTTCAGCTGTAGCATCCTTCCGGCGCCTAACTGCTACGCCACCTGAAGGTTGCACGAGGGCTTGGATAGTGCCAGGTTACCCAAGCCTAGACAGGGGAAGTCGAGTGGCAGAGGTCGGGTTCGAAACACAGACCTTCCGGCCAGCAAATTCACGATCTTACCATTCGGGCCATCTAGCCATTCTTAGGGTCCACCCAATCGGTGCTGACTCCAGGTTTCCTGAATACTAAACTGCACGCAGTTGATTTGATCCACTCGATATGGAGGTCGATCAAGAGGGAGTTAGCATAAAGTTTCTTTTGAAACAGTAACCATGATGAGAACAGGGGCGAGCTGTCAGCACGTGAAAACTGCCATTGACCCTACACACAGGTATACTGACCCTGAATAGCGGGCTTGTTAGCATGCATGATCTAAGCAGGTGGGTGATTTGCCTGGCATAACGCATCAAGCTGGAGATCGCTAAACCCTCTTTGATACTTCACTACTGGTTTCACCCTTCTTGGGGTTCAACAGGCGAGCCTGGTCCCCGAGTTCTACTCGAACAGAGGGTTGTACACGATTCACTGAATACAATCATTTGCGAATTACGTTGCTGACAACGACAGGCTCAAATGAATCACTCGTTCATTGTATTCTTGAAGTGAATGTGCACCTTTTTTTCAATCGCATCACATTCAACATGTTGGATAAAATTATCGTGACACAAAAAACAGCTTAAGAAAATATACTGCGGTATCTCGAATATCTTGCCAACTGAAACTTGAGGCAGGCTTCGTGCAGCAGATTCATACTTGAACAAGAGATTCATTTGAGTCTCCGCTCAACACTTACTTAATTTGAAAATCACTGTATTTCATCATTGGGGGATATTTCAACGAGAGTAATGTGAATACAAGAACCGAAATCCCGCAACTACTCATCAGTATTAAATATTACAACCATATTCAATAACACCTCACAGTTGTGCTGCTGACTTAAATCCACAAATGAGGGGTAACTATTTACTCCCTTTGTTAGCCTTCTGCTGACTACATGGATTCACAATTCCAATGGAAATTTCCCATTGCACAGTATCGAAGGAGTTCGCACAGGGAAGTAAATATGTCGTGGGACCCACCGAGAGATCACGAGCTCAAAATAATTTGGAAAGCAGCTACTGAAGTTGAGGAGAAGTAACGTGTGCGGAGAACAACAAATGTAGTTGGTTGGATAACATTCACCGGAAGAACGGGAAATCAACTGAATGTCAGATGAATGACATTATTCTACTATTCTGGGTTTGAAGGCTACTTCCTGCCTTCTGCGAAAGGACCAAGTACTTTGCTTTGCGAAAGAATCATCCTCTAACTAGGCTTTATTGAATTACTTGTCGTATCACTAACATTCTCTTCTGCTCATTTGATCTCAGCTAAGATTTCTGACCCCATATTTTGAAAGTAAGTAAAACTCACTCAAGAACAGCTGTATACGTAGTTCAGAAATTGCTTTCTACCGATCGGTTTTCTGGAGGATCTTTAGTTTGAAAGCCGGCTGGTTGCACAACCCTCAGCTTATCTTTACGTAAGATCATCCTCATGATTCTGTTGAGGCACTTGAAGAGTCCCTTGGATCATATCACTATTTTTGCCAACACTTCAATGGATGATCCTGAGACACATCTCTAATATAGTGCCAACTGCATCCCGAGGCGGCCTGTGTTCAGCACATTCAGTTGTAGAATATCATAAACCAGAGATTCAGTTGGGTCTCTCGTGAAAACCAAGTTGATTTTCAAATGAGTGTATTTCTCGAAAACAGTCCAATTTGGGTTCAAGTAGAACACAATGTTGACCGAAACTCGAAAACTGCGCCTACCTGATGAGACCCAAGAAGGGCGAAACCGGTCGTGGGCTGTAGAAGAGTTTCCAGCAACCTTGTGAGTAGTTTTCTTTATGAAAAAATCCTGAGACATGTTAGCATCCAAAAGAGATAAATAGCCAAAACGTTATCAACTTATGACGCAGATCAGCAGATGAGGAACGTCATCAGTTAGTTTGAATTTGGAAATGCATGAAGGATTCATGAGAGTGGATCTTACAAATTCGAGCGTTCAGCTCAATAACCTTCGCTCTTTGGGCAAGCTTGACAGATGGACCGCAAAATTATTTTGCCACCTGTTGAGGTGATATCGTCAGTGCGGAGTTAAGTGGGTGGGTTCAGGTGATACATGAACCTCTTCTGGGAGTAAAAGTGGCAACGAGTAAATCCGGTTATCTTTATCAAGTCAAAAGGTTCACGAACTACCAGCCCCCAAAGCAGTAGAATTTTAATGTACGAGAACAACTCTACGTCTATAAAGGTTAAACATAGAAATGCCATGCATTGGGGGGTGCCTACAAACTGTCCGTACTAGAGCAGTGAACGATATGTGTGCACGGTTTAAAGCTATAAGAAGCATAGGGGGTGGAAATAAAGTAAGACTAAGAAATAGAAATGCAGGTATTCAGAAGTATCCATGAGTTAGGAAATTAGTATCGGCTTTACACCAAAGCTGCAAACCAGTCGACACTTTTGAGACTCCAAAAATCCTTAGATTAAATGCTATTATGAGCATAACTGACAACAACGGTTCTCAAATTCACTGTTTGACAGGTTGCCTAGAAAACTTTCGGACTACAAATGTCTTCTTTTGAATAAGCGTCATTAGGAGAGAAGGACCACAATAGGGTAAATTATGGCCAGAGACACTTTAAGAGTTTATTCTCCAGGGGGATGAAAAATGGCACATCGGTTAGTATAGTAATTAACCAGGATTCAATACGGTGGCGAATGCTCACTAGTATGATGGTTCTGAGATATCAGAAGCGCTCATCATAAACACTAGTCAAATTCTTCTTGGAAGTGTGCTTAGTTGCAGAATAAACATGTAGGGAAGAGTACTGGAAACGCCAAAAACGAGATATTCATCTGGGTTCCAGGTGAATCTCTCGCAAAACCAGATTTGTCTGCAAATGAGTATAGTTCGCTAATTTGGTGAAATTTGGTTTCAAATAAAAACAGAAGGTTGACGGAAACTCGGGGACTGCGCCTATCTGATGAGCCCCAAGAAGGGTGAAACCGGTCGTGGGCTGTCGACGATTTTTCAGCAACCTTGTGAGTGGTGCATTATGAACATACATGTATCGCTATATCTCGAATATCGTAGCGTTTGAAACATGAGGCGGCCTGGTGCAGCACATTCAGTTGTCTGGAAACACTACAAACCAGAGATTCAGCTGGGTTCCAGGTGAGTTTCTCGCAAAACCAAATTAGTTTGCAAATGAGTGTATTTCGCTACTTTGGTAGTAGTTCTCTGTACAATTGAATAAACGCTAATTGGTATGATGGGAAAAGCGACAATTTTAAGCTCTTCTAAGTTGCCGGAAATACATTTGGATGGTGTCATTGTCATGTTGTTGGGTGAATCGAACGACACTTGCATTTGACGGGTGTTAAGTAGGAATAAGCACTCAGAGAACAGACAAATTAAAACACAGGACGCTTTCAGTAGATGTTCGCGCTTATTCTGTTGTGATTTTTGGTTCAAGCTGATCTTTTTCCACCACCCCTGCAAAGATTTCTGCCTATCCTTTTACTGCAGTACGATTCTTCACGTCTTTGAGACTACAGCCCTTCCTAAATCTATTACAAACTGTTTATAACTCATTCCCATTCTCTTTAGAACAAGGTATAGGAACATCACATTTGTACATTCTTCCCCTACAGCTATAAAAATCGGGCTTACTCATTGTAATTTCTAGGCAGTGCAGCTTTCAGGAAACTCGTACTTATAAAATTAGTTTCATGAAGTGCCGGTTGGGACAGCGTCCGAGGGTTATCTGAGCCAACTTATAATTCTGATGTGTTTTTTCCACCATAGAGAGCGCATGTGAAGATCGGTGTTTCATAAGAAAAGACCATTTTTATCATCTCCTGGTTTGACAAATTTAGGGACAGCTTGAACTCCTACAATGTTAGTTCCACTATTCAGGTGACTTTTATCTCCAGTATTTGCCTTTGAACTGCGTTCTTGGCATAATTGATGTCCATATCAAGCGCTACCTGCACGCTTCCCTACTCTCCGTGGACGGCTGGAGCCCCAGTTTTGGGTTTTTGGATGAAACGTATGCAAAATCTATTTTTATACCCGAGTCACTATGTTGCACTGTTCTTGCCCTGTTCTCCCTCCATCGCTGTAGCTTGCTACAACCCAGAGTAACCAAGTAGCATTTTATTCATTCAATTCGAACGCAATAAACAGTAAGCTTATGCGCAAAAATGTTACGCCCCCTGCTGTTTGGTAATCTTCAGTGGAAAAGGACCTGTCCTGTCCGCGAGGTACACTGATTTAAAGACTAATTCGTTCTTAACGGTGAACTCAGTTGAATCCCAAGTGTAGCTCTCGTTTATGGTATTGTTCAACTCAATGTGATGCAAAGAGACAATCTTATTTTTCCATCCTCGGAATATCGCGTTATGGTTTCCTGAGGGTACACAACACATAAAGTTGATGAAAAACTGTTTGACAGCCCACAAACGCTTTAGCTCAACTCGAGGCTCATCAGGTAGACATATTTTCTGAATTTCTTACATGAACCCGAATGGTACGCTGTTCGCGAAGCAGGAACTTGGGGAGTGTGCCTGCTTAATGAGTCCAACGAAAGGTGAGAACGCTCGTGGACTATCGAAGAGTTTCTTATAACGTCATAAGTAGTGTTGCTTCAAGAGTTTTCATGTTCTCTACAAAAACAGCCATACAAATAGATAGTGATCGTTAGTTTTCATATTTGAAAAGGGAGAGTTACAGTGTTTCTGCACTAGCCCCATTTTAATCATATCGTTATCAAAAGTTCGGATGCGTATTTAAGTATGTGCTGATAACTTTCTCCCTCCATAAAAATGCAGGTATTCAGAAGTATCCATGAGTTAGGAAATTAGTATCGGCTTTACACCAAAGCTGCAAACCAGTCGACACTTTTGAGACTCCAAAAATCCTTAGATTAAATGCTATTATGAGCATAACTGACAACAACGGTTCTCAAATTCACTGTTTGACAGGTTGCCTAGAAAACTTTCGGACTACAAATGTCTTCTTTTGAATAAGCGTCATTAGGAGAGAAGGACCACAATAGGGTAAATTATGGCCAGAGACACTTTAAGAGTTTATTCTCCAGGGGGATGAAAAATGGCACATCGGTTAGTATAGTAATTAACCAGGATTCAATACGGTGGCGAATGCTCACTAGTATGATGGTTTGAGATATCAAGAAGCGCTCATCATAAACACTAGTCAAATTCTTCTTGGAAGTGTGCTTAGTTGCAGAATAAACATGTAGGGAAGAGTACTAGAAACGCCAAAAACGAGATATTCATCTGGGTTCCAGGTGAATCTCTCGCAAAACCAGATTTGTCTGCAAATGAGTATAGTTCGCTAATTTGGTGAAATTTGGTTTCAAATAAAAACAGAAGGTTGACGGAAACTCGGGGACTGCGCCTATCTGATGAGCCCCAAGAAGGGTGAAACCGGTCGTGGGCTGTCGACGATTTTTCAGCAACCTTGTGAGTGGTGCATTATGAACATACATGTATCGCTATATCTCGAATATCGTAGCGTTTGAAACATGAGGCGGCCTGGTGCAGCACATTCAGTTGTCTGGAAACACTACAAACCAGAGATTCAGCTGGGTTCCAGGTGAGTTTCTCGCAAAACCAAATTAGTTTGCAAATGAGTGTATTTCGCTACTTTGGTAGTAGTTCTCTGTACAATTGAATAAACGCTAATTGGTATGATGGGAAAAGCGACAATTTTAAGCTCTTCTAAGTTGCCGGAAATACATTTGGATGGTGTCATTGTCATGTTGTTGGGTGAATCGAACGACACTTGCATTTGACGGGTGTTAAGTAGGAATAAGCACTCAGAGAACAGACAAATTAAAACACAGGACGCTTTCAGTAGATGTTCGCGCTTATTCTGTTGTGATTTTTGGTTCAAGCTGATCTTTTTCCACCACCCCTGCAAAGATTTCTGCCTATCCTTTTACTGCAGTACGATTCTTCACGTCTTTGAGACTACAGCCCTTCCTAAATCTATTACAAACTGTTTATAACTCATTCCCATTCTCTTTAGAACAAGGTATAGGAACATCACATTTGTACATTCTTCCCCTACAGCTATAAAAATCGGGCTTACTCATTGTAATTTCTAGGCAGTGCAGCTTTCAGGAAACTCGTACTTATAAAATTAGTTTCATGAAGTGCCGGTTGGGACAGCGTCCGAGGGTTATCTGAGCCAACTTATAATTCTGATGTGTTTTTTCCACCATAGAGAGCGCATGTGAAGATCGGTGTTTCATAAGAAAAGACCATTTTTATCATCTCCTGGTTTGACAAATTTAGGGACAGCTTGAACTCCTACAATGTTAGTTCCACTATTCAGGTGACTTTTATCTCCAGTATTTGCCTTTGAACTGCGTTCTTGGCATAATTGATGTCCATATCAAGCGCTACCTGCACGCTTCCCTACTCTCCGTGGACGGCTGGAGCCCCAGTTTTGGGTTTTTGGATGAAACGTATGCAAAATCTATTTTTATACCCGAGTCACTATGTTGCACTGTTCTTGCCCTGTTCTCCCTCCATCGCTGTAGCTTGCTACAACCCAGAGTAACCAAGTAGCATTTTATTCATTCAATTCGAACGCAATAAACAGTAAGCTTATGCGCAAAAATGTTACGCCCCCTGCTGTTTGGTAATCTTCAGTGGAAAAGGACCTGTCCTGTCCGCGAGGTACACTGATTTAAAGACTAATTCGTTCTTAACGGTGAACTCAGTTGAATCCCAAGTGTAGCTCTCGTTTATGGTATTGTTCAACTCAATGTGATGCAAAGAGACAATCTTATTTTTCCATCCTCGGAATATCGCGTTATGGTTTCCTGAGGGTACACAACACATAAAGTTGATGAAAAACTGTTTGACAGCCCACAAACGCTTTAGCTCAACTCGAGGCTCATCAGGTAGACATATTTTCTGAATTTCTTACATGAACCCGAATGGTACGCTGTTCGCGAAGCAGGAACTTGGGGAGTGTGCCTGCTTAATGAGTCCAACGAAAGGTGAGAACGCTCGTGGACTATCGAAGAGTTTCTTATAACGTCATAAGTAGTGTTGCTTCAAGAGTTTTCATGTTCTCTACAAAAACAGCCATACAAATAGATAGTGATCGTTAGTTTTCATAATTGAAAAGGGAGAGTTACAGTGTTTCTGCACTAGCCCCATTTTAATCATATCGTTATCAAAAGTTCGGATGCGTATTTAAGTATGTGCTGATAACTTTCTCCCTCCAAAGAGAAACAGACTTATTAGATCGGTTTGGCCGTTTCCCGTGAGACGCCGTTGTTCGAAGAACTGAAAACTCCAGATTACGAAATTGTCAGCCAAAAAGTTAGGTTATTATTATCATTCTTATTATTACTTCTAATTAACAACATTTTTTCATAATAAATGTAGTTGATCAAAAAAATGAGCGTTTTTGTAATACACAACTCATAGGGTTGCTGGAAATCCGTTTACAACCTACGACCGGTTTCACCCTTTTTGGAGCTCATCAGGTAAGCGCAGTCCCCGGTTTCCGTCAACCTTATGTTTTACTTAAAACCAAATTGCACGAAATTAGCAATTATACACTCATTTAAAATCAAATTTGGTTTTTCGAGAGACTCACCTGGAACCCAGCTGAATCGCTCTCGTTTGTGATGTTTCTGTTTTTTTTTTCAAATCGACTGCAATAAATATGGAGCATGATAGGTTACTTAGGTCACATCTAATCCCAACACATTCTGTCTGGTCTTCTATTTATTCTGTGTTCCTCTCATTTTACATCAACTGTCCAAGGTTGAGCCATAATCGATCGCTCAATTCAAACGAAATGCTATCGTTATGACACTGACTGATAGCCAAATCCAAGGACCTAATGGCAACCAAAGTGCAGTCAAGACATCTTGCACTGATACGCAGAAAATACATAACGACGGGTAGTGAGGACTCACCTGTGCAAAACACTGGCTCACTTGAGCAACTTTTTGTGCCACTATCTCCCATATCGTTGTTCAAGTTACCTTCAGACAGAAGACGTCATCTTTGAGCTGGTAGCTTTCAGTCTGAGTATACTGACAAATCGCGATTGACCGAAGTGTTTACTGTAACCACTGTCTTCCAATACGTTAGGATTCGAAGCAACTCAGCGATTGCAGACAAATAAGCAAAACAGCTAACATATTATCGTCGCGCCATCGATCAGCGTTATGCAGAGTCACCTGGATCTGTGTAGGGGGAGGGGAGGAACGCTTTGGATGTAAGGACCGAATCGAAAGGGGGTGAAATTCTACAAGATAGAGCGATAACAGGACATTGATTGCGTGGTTTGTCTGTTTGGGAGATTGGATTGGCCGATTACACCGTGTCTATCAGCTGCGGCATCTGGACGATAAGAGAACTGGACCAATGAACAGTCACATGTGACAAGTAGCAGCGACGATTGGATGCTTGTGAATGCGAGATGGATAACAGTGTGATGGGTACCGCGATAGGGTACAAAGTTTGCGGGCACGCAGAGTTGTAGCGGTCGTCGTCATCGTCATTCTCATCGCGGGTGTCATCACCGGTAATGGTCAACGACGTTACTGAGGCTCACGCCCAGGAAGGCACGTCAACTTCAGCACAGTAAAGGCTAAAAATGCTGACATTTTAATTCCGACATGCGTCAGTGTGAATAATATGGGATGCATTTACTTATCAAGAACTGTAGATATATTTCCCATGAATCAGCCGAAACAGTCAATCAGTCAATCGTCCACTGTCGATGCATCGACCGCCTCTTACTGATATCGAAAAGACCCTCAACATAGATAACGAAGCTAGTAACTTTTTGGCTTCGACAGTGTCCACGGGTTAATTCAAGTGTACGACTGCGCCAACCTCTAACCAGTCCAAGAGCCTGCAGTGTGAAATTCTTACTCATCGATTACAGCCTAGTGTAAAGGACAAAACTCTGGGACAAAGCTAAATCTTCCTGTTAAATCTGGAAGAGTTAGTCACTAACGTCAAGGAGAATGGTGACCTAACCTAAGCAAAATAGGTGGAAAAGAGCTGAATATGTTAATAAGAAAGATGACAGCATAATGAGGATTCTGCGATCTATTCGTTGTTCTAGTGCTCTTTTGAAAGATAGCTCAGAACGATGGCTTCTCTGTATGGATAACTTAACCTGTGGTTTGATTACACAAGATAAGATCTTCCGGTCGGTGCATGCAACCAACCTGCATGGAAAAATGCAGTTTGAATGATATCGTCTCAGTCAGGTATTTTTCAATCGAGGGATAGTTTTTTTCACTCTAAACATTCGTCTCAAATTTGAGGAAGCACTTTCGTTTCTTCTTTTCGCCTTTTTTCAGAAACATGTCCAGAACTGAATACAATAGAAACGTTCAGATGTAAAAACTTGTTGTTGTTAGTGATCCTGTAACTAAAGTGACCAACGTTGAGTCTGTTTTACAGCCCTCGTTGTATAGCCACATAAAATAGGCTGACTAAAATTGTCGAGTGCAGTTTGTTCAGCTGAATAGGTTCACAAAACTTTCCACTCGTCGGCGGAGGGTATATTGAATGATGGTGCGGAAGATTTATAGCTGGCAACTGAGCGTGCCTTGTTATTGTATTTCAGTGACCTTGACACAATTTTGCGTCTGACTTGACCAAGCTGCGCGTCTTCAAGATCCTTTCATCTGTTCGGAAGGAAGGTGGTAAACACGTAGATGAAGGGATGCATGAGATATTGTTTCACAGAAATACTAAAGTCTGACGCAGATTTTCCGCCTTATCGGCGAAAACCAATCCATATAAGGTTTTTTGGTAAGCCTGATTATGCACAAGCTTCCTACACTTTTGGTGTCGGAATTTCCTAGTTCATGTACTTCTGTTTATGCTCGAAATGACGAAAATTGAGTTTGCATAACATCTAAAGATCTAGACTCGGAAGAAAAGTAGTTTTCCTACTGTATATGGAGATTTTCTCAGTTGATAGAGTAGCAGTGGCCTGCTGCTTGTAAATTACTCGAGAAACCAAAGTTATGGGTTGAAGTTCACGTTGAAACTCACAAAACCAATAATTGGAGGACCGTGGACACTGCAGTGTAGTTTGGGCACCATCTCCGATATTTAATGATCTGTGAACCTCTGGACATTTTAGCCCTATACATACTGCTACATGTGGTGATTTTATCAACTATTGTAAGTACGCAAGCCCAATGCGCGAGTTTATCTACAAGAGATTGGAATACCCTAAATTAATATTGTAACTTGTCAGCGTGGAAGGGAAGCTGCAGGTTCATAGACTCTGGCTCATATATTATTGATTGTGATTCACCTCTCACTGTGTTTAAAGCATACGACACTCAGCTTACTAATTACTCTAAAAAGAGCTGAGTGAGCGCTAGTATTGTTTTGTCATACCATATATATTACACTTTTAGTCCAGATAGCGTTAAAGGAGTAAACGACCCTGGTTTCCCTACTGGAAGGTTTGCGCAAGGCTGAGGAGATTGAGCGACGCCGAAAAAACTAATGCATTCACTCTAAGCATCGTACATTGCACTGCAACAAGTTTGTCCGGGATGTTTGTCCCATAAACTCCTAATCTTATCAGTTATTTACTAGGGTTCTGTAATAATTGTAATACTGCACAAATATTTTTACTCAAACCTGCTCTTCCGCTTTTTAAATCCCACTTGGCCATATTTTTACCATTATCATCTTTGGCCGTGAAGTACACGAGGATATTGGTGTAAATTTTGGCTAAACTCATGTCATAGTAAAATAAATCTATTGCAGGCCCCAGCTTCAAATATTTTATTCCGGAGAGAATGCAAATGTCCGAATGACCCAGTGAATAAGAACGCGAACTGTCGCCGAAATACACTCAGTTTCGTTTTGATAGGAGATTCACCCGGAACCCAGCTGAATCTCTCGTTTTAAACAATGAACCCAAATTGAACAGATTTCCGCGAATACATTCATTTGCACTAGGAAAAGGCTAACCTCAACCTACAGGACGCGAACTATCATTCTGACAACCGGTGTTCTGCAACCACAAGGGTAATCTCAGATAACCGGTCGGTCCCTGTCCTGATACTTTGCAAAAAGGAATAAAGAAGTAAGGAAAACTTGCCGAAATACACTCACTTACATATCAACTTTGTTTGATGGGAGACTCAACTGGAACCCAGCTGAATCTCTCGTTTGTCATGTTTTCAGGCAACTGAATGTGCTGCAAGTAGGTTTCAAGTAAAACATAAGGTTGACGTAAACTCGGCGGGGGGGGGCTGCGCCTACCTGATGAGCCCCGAGAATGGCGAAACCGGTCGTGGGTTGTCGAAGAGGTTTCAGCAACCTTATGAGTAGTGCATTACGAATACACAATTAACAAGAACCTTTTTAGGCTATTAATTCACTGTTAAAAGAAGTAGCAAAGGGTATATTTTTTATAGTATCATTCCGTCCTATCCATGAATTCGTCGACCGCGTTTCCACGAGTGGTAGGTACACCTTAAAAATCGATGTTATTGTGCATGCGGACTATTTTCAAAGCGTTTTCTTCTGATTTCTCCGGTTTACCAAGTCTGATGGTAGTGCTATTTTGGAAGCCATTACGTCTGACGACGCTAGTGCCAGAGGATTTTGATTATTCGAAAATTGTGGGTTTGGGTAACTGATCGCAACCGAACTCATCTGATGGAGAAAGTACGAACAGAAACATAGTCCGGAGGTATTACCCTTACCCAGCGGCCAGCCATCTGTTGGACTACTGCCTTGTTTATGCTGGTAAATGTGAGGCTGTGCATACCACTGTTGTATCCTAGTCAGGATCTTCATGACAAGCATTTATGCCTGAAAGTTTCCGAATATGTTCTGTTACAATCACCAGTGCGGTTGAGTTTAGCCCCAGACCCTATATCAAGTTGCTTTTTTTAGTGTAGAAATCGTACCCGCCGGTTGGACTATAAAGATACTGTCGTCTCATTAGCTGTTGGTCGTATTTGCGACAACAACCTCGTGCTCTGCTTTTAGCCTGCTTAGAAATGACTAAAAAAATCAACCGCGAATGTAAACACGTAACAACCACTTATTAACGAAAGCGAGGTATTTATACCCATTTCTTTGCTGAAACCAACGCTCTCTGGGTCTCTGGCTTGCGTACTTAGAACAGCCAATAAAATCACCACATGTAGCAGTATGTATGGGGCTAAAATGCCCAGAGGTTCACAAGTCATTAACTATAGGAGATGGTGCCCAAACTGTACTGCAGTGTCCACGATCCTCCAGTTTATTGATTTTGCAAAATCAGTGGTTTAACCCTGTGAATTTCAACGTGAACTTCAACCTATAACTTTGGTTACTCGAGTAGTTTACAAGCGGCAGACCACTTCTACTCGTATCACTCTATCAAATGAGAAAATCCCCATAGACAGCATGGAGTCTGGATCTTCAGATGTTGTCCAAACTCAGGTTTCGTCGTTTCGAGCACTGGTCCTGGTGAGGATGAGTTAGCTTGGATGTCTCGGGTCACAGCTACCACGATAAGGGGCTCGGTGCCAAGGCTGTCTCAGCTATTGATCTGGTGTTGTTTCCAACGCCACGTTTCGTAGATGGCCTGCAGATCCGGACCTCGGTCTTAACAGCGTTAACCCAGGTTCCCAGTTGACAACATCGACAACAACACCGTTCTTGGAATTGTGTAGAGGCAAGCGCACCTCTGGTGAAGAACGTGCCAAAGTCATCGAAGCCGAAGTTTTTTGGGATAGCTGCTAGGGTTGACTGACGTCAAGGTACGGAAAAGTGGGACTTTTCATCCGAGAGACGAACCTGAGGACATACTCGAGAATGTTTTTTAAGGCAACAATGCGAGTGTTTTACCTACACACTGACTAAGTTTCGCCAGCGTAAGGACAAACCGAATGGATGGCAGATTGCTAGATTCGAGCCTTCGTCTGCAGATTAATGCACGCGTCAGTTGCAGAATCACTCTGTAATCTTTGTCCAAGCAGGTTGTGACTGCATCTTAGCCTGGACTTTAGGAAGAATGGTTGAGTTGATATATGTGAAGTAGCAAACACTCTCTAGTGCCATTCCGTTTGTCCTTGAACAACAGGGCTGATGGCCATTTGGTAATGGTTTGGGTGACCGGAAAGCAAGCGTAGAAACCCAATCTTGATAAACTTTTTTCAGGTAGTAGAATGTAGGCAGCTTTGGATGTTGGGGGCCAAACCTTCACAATGATGCAGTAGACATAACCTGTTTATCCGAAGTCCGGGTACCGGGATGCGATTTCGTCGAATTCTAGTTCACGGAGCAAACAGTTATTTCTTGCTTTATAGCTGTTTTCCGGCAAAGTGAGACCTGATTTTTATTGGAATTGCAATCGTCACTTATGTGCGCCAACCGCGAAGCCTGAATGAGTGGATGTTACATCAACAGATTGGCCGCGTGTTGAAAGTCATGATCTTTATTTGTCCCATTTGTTTACCAGGATATAACCCTTTATTGAAATTCACTGCATGTGAGAGAGCACCTCGGTTTCCACATGACCGCAGCTAATCAGTGAGCGACACAAATGGTGTCGGCTGATGATGACAAGTGAGTGCTTATTCGATTTACAGATGAATGACGGTGGCAGGCCAAAGTTTCAGACACAATGCCCAGTGTGCACACAGCGCCTTTTTATCCCATCTCTCAACTGTCTATGACAATCATGCTGTGGCCCCGCAACTTTCCTCTATCTTCCCTTGATTTGCGAACGTACAACTCCGATCAACAGCTGGATAACTTGGACACCGGTGGAATCTTCCATTGCCATCAAACATTATCACAAACTTAGCGAATATACGCTCATCTGCAAACTAATTTGGTTCTTTCGACAGACCCACCTGGAACCCAGCTGAATCTCTCGTTTATGATGTTCTCAGGCAACTGAATGTGCTGCACCAGGCCGCCTCATGTTTCAGTCGCTACGATATTTG